ACACGCCGGCCTGACCCAGGACTCCGTTGTGGCTCCCCGAGGCAGAGCCCTGGGCTTCTCTACACAGGAACTGAACCAACAAGCAATGAATTAAACTCCAGCATGAGGGATGGCTGGTGATTCCACCCCAGAGCCTCGCACAGCAGTTCACACCATTCACCATCCTGAGGAGGCTAAAACTGGTTCCCTGGGAGACCTCTCCAGTGAGCTGGTGGATGCTGATTAGCATGCACATGGTGTGAGCCTCCAGCTGACCAGTTCCTACCATCGCTGGAATATGCACAAACCCAGAACCAGCAGCCCTGGTCCCTGCAGACAAAGTGCACAGAGGAATCCCAGGGAGCGCGAAGCAGCAGCTCCAAGCCCCAGGCTGGAGAGGGCCGGGTGCCCCAAGTCTTGGTACCTACAGAGCCTCCTTTTGTCTGGTTCCATGGGGTCTCTGGGAGAGCGCTGACTGAGGGGCCTGTTCCGGTGGCGGCTTGGTTCTCGGGCTGTCATTGCTTGGACAGCACAGAGCCACCAGGCCATTACATGCCTCCACAAGCCTAAGAGGCCGCCCTGAGCCAGGTCTGCTGCCTTACGGGGCAGGACGCCTGTGAGGGACGGGTATCTCGCCGGACCTTCCAGCCACTGTGTTTAGGCCGCCCAGGGGTCTCTTCCAGTCCCTCCTGCTTGGCTGGGTCACCGTGGAAGTCAGGGCTTGCAGGGGAGCCGTAGGCGTTCGGAGCAATGACCGTACCGGCGGGTGTCGACACTCACAACACTGCTGCAGCAGCGCCTCAGTTCGACAGAGGGGTTCTCCCGCCGCCGGAGTAAATCCACCGCCCGAGACGAGGCGGCTTCTGTCAACCTAGCACTGTCTGCACCGGGGGGGCTCAGCAGAACTGTGTCCTGTGGTGCGGGGGGGGGGGTTCACGCCCCCGCCCTGAGCGTGTAGCACTGCCGTGGGCTGCTGAGTGCAGAGCGGCCCGGCGAGGGTGCGGGGCCCAGCTGAGAGAGCAGGACCGGCTCAACTGGGAAGCAGATCGCTGCAGTCGACCTGACCTTGAACCGTTTGATAGTTTCATTCATTCAGAGGTGCTTCAGCTGAATAGGTCCAGCTTCTTTTACATCGCCCGCAAGGGGCCAAGGGGTCACTCCCACAGGTCAGGAAACCACTGAAGCAGCTTCCTCCACGTGGGGTTTCCTTACCAGGGTCCAGAGCCGTTCCAAGACAGCTCCATGCTGCAGCCCAGGGGAGAGCCCACCATGCTCCAGAGAGCACGTAGCAACCAGCCTCCCTGCACCGCCCTGGCCGGCAGCCCTGGGCATGGGCAGCAGGGACTCGATCAGCTCTGCCCCCAGGGCTCGACCCTGGCATGCCCCACAGCCAGGCCCTCTCAGAGGCCCAGGCCACTTCTGGCTTTTGAGGCCCCTAGCCATAATAATAGTAAAAAACGAGAACACGTGAAAACAAAACCATTACATCTTTTACCAAATCCCATCTCTTATTTGCTTAAATTTGCAGCTCTACACTGAGTGTGTGTCACGTTTTGGTCCGATAGGGATGCGCACAAAAACAAGTTGCGAAACTTATCAAATGCCAAAAAATTAACAAGTGTCTAAATTTGAGGCCTCCTTTGAGCTTGAGGCCCTGGCCCAATGGCCCTCCTGGCCCCCCCGATTGGGCCTGCCCACAGCAGACACCCGTAGCACGGCTTTCCAGCTGCAGGAAATCCCACCCCAGCTGCCACATTTATGAAAGAAGTGACGAGGAGCAAATGTAAGGAGTGTGAGACAGGGCCGAGGCCCCAGAGCCTTCTGTGCACTCATGCAGGACACAGACGGCTCACAGGTCCTCCCACAGTCGAGGGGCCAGCCAAGCACCATGGGGCAAGCGTGAGCTGGACATGGGGCGAAGGCCTGAGGCCACAGCCCGAGCACAGGGCTCCTCTGCCCCTTGTGAGCACCCAGCCTGCTTTGTTCTGTTTGCTGCCAGCCGTTACTGGTCACCATAGGCCCCGTGGTGCTGGGTGCAGTCCCGCGAACTCTGCAGGTGCTCTGGGGTGGTGGTTGGGGGGACAGAGATAATGGGCTCCCGGCTGGCTGGCAGCATTTGGGCGTGCTCACTCAGGCGCACTCGCTGGCCCTGTTGCCCAGAGCCCTGGAACGAAGGGTGTTAGACAAGAGGCTGTTAAGAGGAGGGGTCTTGTGAACGTGGGCATTAGCAATCCATAGCCCCGTAGGGGAGCACGAGCCAGGGGAGGGGAGCAGCACCAGCGAGTGGAGGACAAGCACCCCACGTCAGTGCACAGCGCCATATGCCTTCCCCGCCAAGCAGAGAGAGGGGCCAGCTGAGCCCTCAGTGGAGCATGCTGGGGCTGGGCAGCCCCCGCTCCCACCTGAGAGGAGGCTCTGGGCATCCACCTGCTTTGCCGAGGGCCAGGGCTGTATGGATGGACAGTGCAGGCACGCGAGACATGCCGAAGGGAGAGCCACTGGCCCGGCTTCTGGTGACTCCGTGAAGCAGCCGTGCAGCCAGCTCTCTCCTGGAGACCTCAAAGCGGTTCCCAAGGGGGGGGGGGGGGGGGGGGGCTGGGGAAACTGAGGCACGGAGTGAGTCAGCAGTACAGCTGACTTTCTGCTCCCATTGCCTCGTGCACCCAGCCCGAGCTGGAAAGGAGCCACGATCCTCAGCACCACTCCAAGGCTGGCAGGAGCACAAACCCTCAGCACAGAGGTCCCCGGCCCCACTGTCCTCAGCAAGAGTTAACACAGCAAATCCCTCTTGCTCTTGCTCTAGGAGGCCGGCGCCCCGCCAGCTCTCCACAAGGCCTCCCTGGACGCCTAAGGGAAAAATCACCCCCCCAAACCAGAGCGCTTCAGGCCTGCAACAGGGGCCCTGCAGCCAGCAGATGGATGCTGCCACCTACTGACGCAAGTTGGTTTCCCAGCAGAGCAGGACAGCGGCCCCAGAGACCCCCAGGAACCCGCTCTGGGTTCAGCGCCAACACCCCACTGGGGCCTCAGGGCAGGGACTCAACCATGTGTCCTGCTCCAAGCTTGCTAGGAATGGGGCCTCAGGAGAGCAAGAGGGCCAGGCCATGAGGAAAGGCAGGCCCACCAGACCCTGCAGCGAAGAGATCGGCGAACCCTTCCCCACAGAGAGGAGACTAGCTGCAGGACCTAGAGGACTAGTCAATAGACATAGCACGGGCCACATCTGGACCACCTGACGCTTCTGAACAGACGGCAAAATCTGTTTATTTCCTTGTTATTGTTCGAGCTAGTGTGGTGTGGAAAGCGTTTCTCTCAAGTCTGGACCTTGACAAAAAATAATTGACTACCCCTGACCTAGAGCCTCTGCAGCCCCCACCAGGGAACAGAGCCAAGGCCTGAGTCAGGTCAGCCCGGCCTGCCACAGGAAAGGGGAGCTGGTCTCTGCCAGAGGAACTGGCCAGGCACTCCCCCAACCCCAGTCAGGGCCTGAGCACCCCCGGGCACGGGGCAAGACAAGGGCCGGGACAGCGGAGCTCTCCTGCCCTCAGGACGGCGCACCCCCAGCTGCTGCTCTGTACCAGGCAGCCAAGGGCTCTGCTAGGTCTCCTGACCGAGGCCACCCTGCCCCAGGCCCTGGGACGCTCACATGGGTGGGATGCTCTCCTGCTGCCAGTGAAGGCCCTGCATGTGCTGGTCTGAAAGAGACACATAGGGTGGGTTCCCCTTTCCCTGCACTGTACCACTGAGGTGTGTGAAGGGGGCTCACCAGGCCCTGGCCCACGGGCAGGACATCGGGGCTCCAGCCAGGGGAAGGCTGCCTACAGAACGGACCTGCTGCCTGGGTGAAGGAACCCTGCTGGAGACGTGCCAGCGAGCCCATTTCAGCAACACTGCCAGCATTGATTCATAAAGTGACATATGCCTAGCTCCTGCAGAGCCAGGGCCTCACCAGGAGGGCGGAGGACTCAGGGGGAGGCCAATCCCATTCTGCCAGGCGTTGCTCACCTGTGCACATGCCTGGCCCTGCAGCCACTTCCAGAGGGCAGGCCGCGCTGCACTGGTGGCTGGAAAGCTGTGTGCCTCTGGGGGTGGGACTGTCCCGTTCCGCTGCCCTCCTACCCAGCGCTGGAGGACGCCCTGCCCACACAGAGCTGGAGGCCGACACACCCACCCCAGAACCGTCTGGTTTATCGAACAGATGCAGTAGCCAAGCAGCACAGCCAGGTCACAGGGGAGGGGCCGGAAAGTCACTAACCAGTTGCAAATGCTGCATCCATCAGCCGGCAGGGCAGGGGCCTGGGCCAGAGCTTGTGTGGATGGATTCCTGCCCAACTTGGCCTGTTCTCTGTGTGTACAGCACAGTCGGGCAGGCCTTGGTGAGGGACCCTCTGCTACAGGCATAAGGGGCCAGGGAAGAGGGACTCCTGGCCTGCAGGGCAGACACAGGGACAAGGCTCCTTTCAAAGACACTTTGCCATTCCCTTACCCTGCCCAACCAGAGAGTGGGGCCGGGTCCTCCCCAACCAGAGTGGGGCTGGGTCCTCCCCAGGGGCACAACGGAGGCCAGGACCCCAGGGAAATCTGAAGAGGAAAGGGCCTTTGCTCAGGCCCCGCAAGGGCAGAGTGCCTAGAGAGGGCTCCTTGGGCCAGAGGTGAGGCATGTGGGGGAAGCAGCTTGTGTCAGGAGGGCCAGGCCACTGCCCCGGCCCCTTCCCAGGGCAAAGGAGCATGGAGATGAGAATGGCAGGGCTCTCAGGGCTCATCGCAGAGTCAGGTGCTGGACTGCTCCCATCCCACGGAGAGCTGCAAGTCAGAGCCTTAACCTGCCAAGCTCGGCGCCTGCCCCAGCCAGTCGGGAGGGAACAAGGCCCAGGCTGGGCAGGCAGATTCAGAGGGGATGCCTGGTCACTGGCTGTAAGGGAGGGAATTGGACTCCCTGGCAGGGATCCCCACCTCTTGAGCACAGCGGTTCCCAGCAGGAGGCCCCACGCCACAGAGCAGAGTGAAACCCTCACACGGAGTTCGGGAACATTTCACTTTGGTTAATTTAATCCGTTAAACGACCCGGGCTGTAGCATGGCTCCCTTCCAACCCAGCCGGGCCCTGTGCACCTGCCCCGGCTGTTCCGCGGGCTCTTTCCAGGCCGTGCTGCAGCCATACAGGCAGAAGAGCAGCATCTGGGGGCTGGTTGCTACACACCAGCCTACTGGGCACGGCCCTGTTGGCACGAGCTGCTGCAACTCTGTGCTGCAGGGAAACTCCAGGGCAACGTAGCAGGTGCAGGCCCTGCCTGTGGGAGGGGCAGACAACCATGGGCCAGGCTCAGAGATGCTGAGCAATGCCACTGACCTGGCTGGGCAGGAAAGGAAACGCTCCCCAAGCAGCTACCTCACAGCTTCGCGAAGCCCCCTGGGGACCTCCCCTGCCAGCGCCCAGCGGGGCAGCCCAGGAAGGGCCCTGGGGTGCAGGACAAGGGCTTGCAGCCCTGCAGAGGGCCACGTGGAAGCTTGCAGCGGTGGCCTTTCACCACCAGGTGCTGGGGCGCAGCCATTCAAGCCACGTGTGCTGCAGCAACTCACCAGCATGGTAACTGCAGGAGCCTGGGACCCCTCCCCGGAGCCGATCCAGGCCGGCTGCCCTGCCCAGCTCGGGAGCAGTGCGCCCCCCAGTGGTGACAACGCTCAGGCAAAGCCCCACGCCCGACCCCGGGGCGTCCCTGCCCCTGTCTCTCGAGCCCAGGACAGAGTCCCTGTTAAATAAACTCAATCCCTTCGTATTTCACGGCCCCGATCCTGGTCTCCGGCAGCAGGAAGCGCCCGTCCAGCGTGAAGGCCATGATGTAGGTGGCAATCTTGCCATCGTCCTCCTCCGATTTCAGGGCCACGATGAGCTGGTCGTCAGTGTCGGGGATGAATTTGAAGGAGGAGAAGCCGTGGGTCGGGACGGCAGCCCCCACGTGGCTGACGGCGATGTCGCTGAAGTCCTGCGTGGCCCGCAGCAGCAGGTTGGTACCCCGGTGCTCGTCGGCCTTCTCGTCGTAGCGCTCCTGGCTGGCCCGGCGCGGCAGGAAGAACCAGCGCTGCAGCGTCTCGCTCCAGGCGGCCGACTCATGGATCAGGTAACCTGGGGAGGGCAGGGCCAGGGTGAGAGCAATTCCTAGGCAGGCAGAGCACAGGGCTGGGACCCAGGAGCTGCCAGTGCTCGGCCTGAATGTGACGAATGCCCTGGGCCACAGCCCCTCTCTATGCGTCACCTGGGTGCTGATTTCCCCTTTCCTGGGGCAGGGGAGCGGGTGTCAGCAGAGCCCTCCTCGCTGGGATTCCCGCTATGCTGCATGGATGGTGCAGAGCCGGCAGCCAGCAAATCTGGGCAGGGTGGGGGGCCAGCCTGGCTGAAGTCGCCTGCCTGCGAGAAGCAGATTCCCCCTCCCAGTTCCCCTAACACAGAGGGCAGCACAAGCCACGGACCTGCCTCCAACAGCTCCGTGGGGCGACAGGCTGCCAGCGCGCCCAGGGACGGCATGCTGCACACGGCTCTCCACACCACTGCGAGCACAAGACTGGTCACAGCACGATGGGCAGGAGGGGTCTAGCCCCGGCACCCAGCCCCACCCATATCCACTCCCCATGGGTGAGGGGAGGGGAGGTTCAAACCCCCAGTTCCTTTAGCACTCACATTGCCCGCCCGCAGCCTGGAGGGTGCAGTATCAGGAATTCCTTCCAGCCCCTCCCTGCAAGCGCAGATGGGACTGCCCAGGGCTGTGGGGCAGTTGGGGGCAAGCCCCACCTCTTACCTGGGAGCCTGATGCCAGCCGCTGACCTCAGTGCGTTGTAGTTGGACACCCAGTTCTCATGGCCCACGTCCCCCTTGGAGCCGACCACCTTCACCCACTCGGGGTTCTCATTCATCACCTCCCCGGTGGTCGTGGTCCACTCTTTCCCCAGGCCACCCACGTACAGGTGTTCATCCTTCACTGCCAGCCACTCTGCTTTGAAGCCTAGGCAGAAAGACCCAGTGTTAGCTTGAACAGGGGACCTCAGCCCTGCAGTCAGAGGAAAGGGGTGGATGCACCGGCAGGGGCCGACTGGGGCAGCGGTGTGTGTCCCCGGCTATCCTTCCCGCAGCAGTCAGGAAAGCCTCTCCCCGCCGCCCCTTGTGGGGATTCCCATGGCCATGATCCAGATGCCCAGGAGGGCACGAAGGCAGGGGCTGGGCTAGTGATCACCAGGCAGCTTTGCTCTGGCGGCAGAGTTTGTCCTGGATCAGGGCTGTGACAGGGAAAACGAGAGGAGAGGCAGAGCTCACCTTTGCCCACGGTGCCATCCCCATCCGATAGGATCACCCAGGGGACCATTGTGGTGCCCTCGATCAGATAGACCACTCCCGTCCGGTCGTCCACTGCATACAGCTTCCCGTTGAAGACAACCAGCTCAGAGAGCTCCATGCCTCTCCCCTTCTCGGCCAGATGGGACTCCAGCACGCTGTCGGCCCGGTCCCACTCCACCGTCACTCTGTCCCCGCTGGCCGACAGGGTCAGGTAGCCCTTCTTCAGGTAACTGAACCAGGTGTGCTCCTGTGGCCCCTTGGAGCTGGTGTCCAGGTCGGCAATGACCCCGATCCTGTAGCGCACCCCTTCCGAGTTTCTCTGGGGCGGGGACAGCGGGTAGGTGTCATTGTACCTGTCCCCGGGCAGCGGGCTGAGCCGCCAGTTGTGGGCGTTGGCTGGGGCCGGTCTCCCCGTGGCCGAGCGGTGAAAGCAGAGCAGGAGCAGCCCCAAGGCAACGCTGAGCGAGGACACCAGGATGGCCTTCCAGCGCAGTCGGAAGCGGGGGTCAGCAGCCTTAGTCATGGACGCTAGGACGGGAAGGCCACCAACGCTGATCCGGAGAGGGCTCATAGACTCACTCCATTCCAGGCGCTGGCTGGGCGGGACGCGCATCAGCCTGGGGGCAGCAGAACCTGGCACCAAGCAAGAAAAGTGACAGGGTGAGACAGGGCCAGAGCTGGGGTCTCGCATTGCACCCTTCAGTGGGGCTGCGCTTCTGCCCCAGGGTAGTTAGTGGGACCCCAGGCTCCGCCCTGCCACCAGCTCCCCACCAGCAGCACCCATGGGGTGGGCCTTTCTGCTGACATCCCTGGCCCCGACGCGCTCAGAGAGCCGCTGGTGCGCCCTGCTCTGCTGGCGGATCTGGGTTCAACTAACAGGGTAAGTGGGAAGCCCGCGAGAGGGCCCAGCAGATGGGGTGCCCCATCCAGGGAGCTCCTGTAGCTCGCTGAGGGGGAAGCGGGGCCAAGGCTGGCTGGGAACGAGCATCCCCTCCCCACGACTCCCCAGCAGCTCCACTGCTCAAGCTGGGAGGGATGGAAAGCATGGGAGCATCCAGAACAAAGGAGAATTGACCCTGGGCGGGATGGCCAGGGCCCTGCCGCGGGATCGCCCTAACTGTAGCAGGCCTGGCCTCCCTGGCCACGGGTACTGCCCTGCGGGCTGTAAACACCAAACCCAGCAGCTCTGCAGGAAAGCGCGGCCCCCGGCAAGGAGAGATCCCCAGTGCACCGCAGCCTACGATGGGGAGACGCCCGGTGAAGTTCACACAGCCAGTCTGCGGCAGAGCCGGAACCCAGGAGCCCCTACTCCCAGCCACAGCTCCTCCGCAACATTCCCACCTGACTTAAATACCGCCTGGCGCACACCCAGCCAGCTACCGGTGCCCACCCATCGGGAGCGAGAGCTGCGGGTGACCAGCCCTGGCAGCATCCCTGCCAGGCATGAGAAGCCCCATAACCCATACCTGCCGCCTGGCACCATGCCCTGCACACGGCCCGTCACACGCTGCCCTGCAGCTGGGTCCCAGGGTCCCCGGCACAAGAGGAAGCAGCTGCAGTGTCTCCAGTTCTTCCCTGACAACGCTGCAGGTACCGAGAGCCGGGGGAGGGGATCGGGGTTCCCTGGGTAGGGAGGGGTGGCAGGAGAGGACCTGACGCCCCCTGCCCTATGGCTGTCTGCACCAGACAAGGGAAGCAGAAGACAGACTAGAGCCCCAGGCCCCACTCCCCTTACAGCCTCTGCAGCTCACCACACGGCAGAGCCTAAGCACCAGCCGCTCTCCCCCGGCCAAATCCTGCACGAGCCCCGCAACAGTCTAGCGAAGCCCAGCAGGGCTTTGGTGGGGGCTGGGCCCAGCCCCCCAGCTCTGCCTAGGGTCCCGAAAGGGCCTCTCTATTGGCTCCCAGGGTGAACGCCAGAGACCACAGAGCCGCACACAGCATGCCCAGAAATCCCAGCTCCTTCCCCAGGCACATGGCTGGGGAAGGGGCCCCACTGCCCCAGAGTTACAGGTATGTGGGGCAAGAAGAGGGGGAAACAGCAGGAGCAGCACAGGAGAGCCCCTGCAAGGGGGTGTGGGAAGGAGTGCAGCAGCCAGCCCAGCTGTATGCACAGCCCTTCCCCCGAACCCAGCTCGGGGGCTCCCAGCCCTGGCCTAACAGTGCAGAGAAAGGCCAAGTTCTCTGGTTAAGCGCATGAAGGAAACTCGTAACAGCCGGGGACGGGCCCCAGGAGCCCTGGTTCCCCCCCCCCCGACCCAGCCTTCCAGAGCCGGGGACGGGCCCCAGGAGCCCTGGTTCCCCCCCCGCCTTCCAGAGCCGGGGATGGGCCCCAGGAGCCCTGGTCCCCACCACCACCCTTCCAGAGCCCGGGACAGGCCCCAGGAGCCCTGGTCCCCCGCCCCCCACCCTTCCACAGCCGGGGATGGGCCCCAGGAGCCCTGGTCTTCCCCCCCAGAGCCCGGGACAGGCCCCAGAAGCCCTGACTCCAAGTCACCTGCTCTGAACAGTCAGATCACACACACCCCAGATGAGGACGAAGATTCCCAGGCCGCTCGCACAGCCCAGGGGACCCTGGCCCACAGCCAGCAGGAATGGCCTCTGTCTCAGGAGCCACTTGCCTTCCTGGAGCCTGGCCACCCTTCCTGTGGAGCAAGCAGCCGGCTGGGCAGGGTCCGGGGAGCAGGCCCAGCCCCCGTGCTCTGCTGCGGCCCCACGGCTGAGCTGTGCAACAGGTGCCGGAACAAGCAGCTACGGGTGCTCAGCCCCTCCTGAGCAGGATCCAGGAAACGCAGACCGCTCGGGGGATCCAGCCCTAGCCAACCACGTCGTCTTAAAGACACAGCAGCCTGTTCCCTCCTCTCCCCGGCCTAGCCAAGAGGCCATTCTCAGCCCAGCCTGCTCACCCGTGTGCCTGCAGCGTGCTCCAGGAACACTGCCCGTGGCAGCATGGCCCCGTGAGGCCTTGGGGAAGGCACTTTGCCTGCCTCCCAGCTAGTGGGCAGGGACTCACTAGTTAATGACAAGGGCAGAGCCCCTGCTTGACAAGCCAGACGCGCCAAACCTGCTCTGGTGCCTTGGTGCCTTTGCCTCCCAGCCCATTCTTAGCTGCTCTAGGGCTCCAGAGGCAGAAACAGCCTTTATTTGGGGGGTGGGGGCCTGCAGCTCTCACAGGGATCAATGGGAGGGTGGGGCCCAGCCAGCTATCTTCCCTAGCCGGCTGTGCCCCAAGGAGGCCGCTCCTTCAGCCAGGCCCAGCTCGAAGAACCAGGCCCCAGTCACCCAGGGTCTGAGTTTGGCTTGCCTGGAAACAGGGAGACTCCCTTGTAATGGAGCAGCCCGCTGACCCCCACGTGTAGTAACAGCAACTACAACCAGGACACTGGGGCACCCCATGGCTGGGAGCGACAGCCGAGTGCCTGCGTCTAGCACGTGGCCCTGCAGACCCCAGGCCAGTGATGCCCTGTGAGGGGCACACCCCTAGCAGGCTGGCACGAGAACCTGGCAATCAATATGCCTTAACAGAAGCTCTCCGGAGAGGGTGTGGATCCGGTGCTATCCCCCGACTCTCCAGCCCCCCTGGACTGATAGCCTAGCTGATCTCCTGGGAAGCTCCCCCAGACGGGTCTGCTGCCTGGGGAGGGGATGCTGGCCAAGTCCCCAGACCAGCCACGACTCCTGCATGCCTTCAGCAGGCTGCCCAGGGCACGAAGAAAGGCCTCTTTGAGCAGCGGGAGGACCGGGGGAGGCCTTGTCTGCTCACTCTGGAGCCCAGTCAGCACTGGGGCAGAAACCTCAGGGCACAAGCATGGACACTGCGGCTCCCCCACGAGACTCCCCCTGTTGATCGTGTGGGGCTGGCCAGCAACTAGGGAGCAGCCAGTGGGAGGAAGAGGGGGAGATTTTAACACCCATGAAAGCCAGGGACAGAACCAAAGACAGTGAGACCACAAACCACAGGGACACACAGACCCACCTCCCCCGTAAAACTCCACCTCCAACCTGCCCCCAGCTCCTCCCCAAGTGTGCACAGCTCTGCCCATGCCCCTCAGTCCTGACCCACAGCCCCTGCTAGCCCAGCCCTGGGCTCCCCGCCAGCTCTGCCGGTGCCCCTCAGTCCCGACCCACAGCCCCTGCTAGCCCAGCCGTGAGCTCCCTCCCCAGCCCTGCCAGTGCCCCTCAGCCCCAACCCTCAGCCCCCCCTTCCCCCCAGCCCTGCCTGTGCCCCTCAGTCCCGACCCACAGCCCCTGCTACTCCAGCCCTGAGCTCCTTCCCCAGCCCTGCCAGTGCCCCTCAGTCCCGACCCACAGCCCCCCCCCCAGCCCTGCCAGTGCCCCTCAGTCTTGACCCACAGCCCCTGCTACTCCAGCCCTGAGCTCCCTCCCCAGCCCTGCCAGTGCCCCTCAGTCCCGACCCACAGCCCCCCCCAGCCCTAGCCCCCTGCCAGTGCCCCTCAGTCTTGACCCACAGCCCCCCCCAGCCCTGCCAGTGCCCCTCAGTCTTGACCCACAGCCCCCTGCTATCCCAGGCCTGGGCTCCCCCCCAGCTCTGCCCGTGCCCCTCAGTCCGCACTACACACGCTGCAAGCAGGTGCAATGGACACAGAAGGGAGGCTCAGGCTTGGTGCAGCCTGGGGCAGGACCCTGGGGACAGACCCCCGACTCCAGCAGCAAAAGGGTCTGGGCATTTGGTGGCCAGGCAAACGGGGGAGGAAGAACATTCCTGGAGACAATGACCCCACATAGGCCAAGGAGACCCCGCAGGGCGCTCTCACCTCCACCCTGCAGCGCATTGCTGGGTCAGGCAGGCCACAGGGACCAGGTGCAATGGGGCACCCAAGTCTCCCAGCGCCAAACACCCCCACGAAAGAAACCAGAGCCAGCACGAGAAAGGGGAGGGCGTAGGGCCGGGGGGCCAGGACGACTGGGTTCCATCCCCAACTCTGCACGAGGGGGAGGGGGAAGGGGAGCCCAGGACGCCTGGGTTCCTTCCCCAGCTCTGCGGGAGGGGGAAGGGGAGCCCAGGACTCCTGGGTTCCTTCCCCAGCTCTGCACGGGGGAGGGGGAGCCCAGGACGCCTGGGTTCCTTCCCCAGCTCTGCACGAGGGGGAGGGGGAGCCCAGGACGCCTGGGTTCCTTCCCCAGCTCTGCACGCGGGGGAGGGGAGGGGGAGCCAGGACTCCTGGGTTCCTTCCCCAGCTCTGCACGAGGGGGAGGGGGAGCCCAGGACGCCTGGGTTCCTTCCCCAGCTCTGCACGCGGGGGAGGGGAGGGGGAGCCCAGGACGCCTGGGGCAGGACTCCGGGGACAGACCCCGACTCCAGCAGCAAAAGGACGCCCCCCAGCCCCCCACTCACCCGGGCTCCTCCCCGCGCGCCGGCGACTCGGCCTCTCGCGACTCGCCGCTCCGGCCGGGAGGGGGAGGGGGAGGGGGAGCGCGTCGCAGCGCGCAGGCGCGGGCCGGGGACTCCAGCTCCCGGCCTTCCCCGCGCGCCGCACTACAGCTCCCGGCACCCCCTGCGCAGGCACCCCGGAGGCCGCTGGGGGATGTAGTCCGGGCAGTTCAGGCTCCGCCCCCTGCAGGGCCCTGCCCGTGGGGCTGTTTGCGGGGGCCACTGTCCCGCCCATGTGACAGTCCCGCCCTGCGGCGCACTGCCCTGGGACCCCGGCCCTCCCCAGGGCATGGCCCCCTCGGGCGCCCCGCTGTGCCCCCAGCTCCTCCGGCCCCATGAGCACCGCGGGGGATCCCCTCCGGAGTGTGAGCCTGGCGCCCCGAGGCCGCGGTGATGGGCGGCACACGCTGCTCAGGCATCGGGCGCTGCGGGCCTCGGCACACGATAATCTCCCGGGCCCAGCCCTGCGCGGCCCTAGGCCTTGGCGTAGGGTCACCCCTGCCCCAGGATCCCGGGGTCCTGGCCCAGGAGGCCGGCAGGGCGCTCAGCCCGTGGCTCCGCTGTGCCGTGTGATGGGCTCAGGATCCGCCCACTTGCTTGGCCCTCAGAGGTGGCCACCCTGAGCCGAGGCGCGACTGATGCCGGGGTGGCAGTTCCACTCAGCGCCCTGCTGTGCCAGCCTGCTCCAGCCCAGCCTCATGCGCACAGAGCCTGAGCACCCTCTGCCCTGCACACCCCGAGAGAGCACATCCCACTGGGCTCTCGCTCAGTAACCAAGAACGAGGGAAGAGAGCCAGGAGCACACCGAGGTCCCATCCAGTCCTGTGCCCTGTCTCTGGCAGCAGCTGGCACCCAGTGCTTCCGAGGAAGGTGGAGAAAATCTGTCGGGGGCCCGGTGTGGCAGGCCAGGGCAGGGCAGGCTGTGCAGGGCACTGTGTAGACACAGCTTTAAACAGGGTGAAATGCCAGCATGGGGAGGGGGAAGGTAGCGCTGGGGTTGTGAGGGGGGGAAGGGGTGGGAATGGGGCAGGTAGGGAACTCACCCTCGACAGGGATGGGCTCCAGGATCCACTTCTCTTCTGCACAATGTGGGAATGAAACCCAGGGTGTGTCCAGAGCTGCCTTTTGGGGGTGGGGGTCCCAGGATCCTGACCTGCTAGGAGGAGCCTCTCCTTTGGCAGAGCCTCGAGTCTCCCATGTGATGTTCTGATCCCATGAAGCCCAGCGAGCCGGGGTCCTTAGCTCAGCAGAGGGCAAGGAGGGGACGCTTGCTGGGCTGGTATCAGCAGAGATGAGGGGTGGGAGCTTGTGTGTCCCAGGTAGCCTCTTGCAGGAATGTGCTGGCTGCGTTTCTCCCTGCAGGACATTCGGCTCCCCAGTGCTTGCAGACTGGCCTGAGGCTGCTGGGACTCCGGCTGCTTTCTGATGGGGGCTCATTGCTCCCATGCAGCCTGCTCTGCCAGCACAGGGATGAGCGAGCAAGAGAAGCCAGTTTGCCCTCTGCCCTGGCTAGCTGGGATCCTTCTCCCGCTCCACAGCGGAGCAGCCCCTGATCCTGCTGAGGGCCTGGGCTGCAGCTGGCTGCTCAGACCGCGGTAGCTCCCAGGCAGGCCCCTGCCAACGCCCCAGCTTGCAGGTGGGACCAGCGGGACAAGACCACACGTGTGGGACAGAATCCCAGCCTGCTGGCTCCTCCCCGCTCCCAGCTGCTTTTTCTTGGCATTCACAGGGGTTAAGGAATTACCCAGACAAGGGTGTGAGCACAGCCCAGCATTCCCGGCTGCTCCCCCTGCACTCGCCCAGCAGCTGGAGGACAGGGAGGACCGGAGAGTGCAGCCAGGTACAGATACAATGAGGGACAGACACTGCTCCCAGGCCAGGGCTTGGGCCCAAGCAGCTGCTGCTCTCATTAAACCAACCCAAGAGAACAGACGCTAGGGGACGGGCCTGCCCTGGGCCCAGGGATGAACTGGAGAACGTGGGCCAACCCTGCTTCTGGGCCTGGAGCCTTCCTCTCCTGGGGAGAACCCAGAGTCCCAGCTGGTGGGTGGAACAGGGATGGCTCCGGGGTTAGATCAGTAAAGCATAGGCCCCCTGCCCTGGCACTCACTCTCCATAGGGAGCCGAGAGCTGTGGTGGCGGCTCCCCAAAGTGCCACACACCCATGGGGATTGGGGAGCCCTACTGCCAAATGCCCTGGAGAAGCCCAGCCCTCTCCTCAAACACCGAGGGGCATAGGCTGTGTTCCCTGTACGTGAGCAGCCTGCAGCCTCCCCTCCCGCACGCAGCAGGGCAGCTGTCTCAGCTACAGTCTGCAGCCAGCCCAACCTGGGCTCTGGCACAGCACCCTAGGAGCTGGCCCTGGATTTCTGTGCCCAGCTGGCACAGGCTCTGGCTGTACCTGTGGAAATAACCTCCCCAGCTCCTGGGCTGCCCGGCACCGTTCAGGTTTTGGACACGCCTGGGGGCTTGGCCAAGAACCTTGTGACATTGTAGGGGATTTGGACTTGTCATTCTGCTGAGCTGAACCACTTGGAGGATGGTGCTTGCTGGGGTCCTTCCCCCTTGGCTCCAGCCTCAGACATCTGGAGTTATGTCCTGGCCCATTAAACCTACCATCGTTGTCCTGGGCAGAGCGGGCGGCAGTGCTGGGCCTGGCAGGGGCTGGGCGCACACATGGTTAACACAGGCCCTGCTCTCTGCCGCAGCTCACATCTGGCAGGGGGAGGGCTGCTTTGCCGGGTTTGTCCCTTTTCTTCCCTCTCCTCCTTTACGCTGGAGAGAGTGCGTTTCCGCTCGGGCCGTCGGAGGCGCAGAGGCTGCGATAGAGGGGCAGAGAGAAGAGCTGCCTTGGGCCAGGCCCCCCACTTCCCTCCTCCCTGCACCCCAGTGTGGGGTGGAAGTGGGAGCTCAAAGGGGATGCTCTAGGGAGACGAAACGCACCGAGAGAGGGCGAGAGAAACGATTCCAGCACAGCCAGCACCTTGGGCTCCAGCCACTGAGGCGTCAAACCTGCCACAAGTACGTGTGAGGACGGGTGGGTGGGCTGGCAAGGCCCTGGGTGTTTGTGCTGTGGGCATCAGGGATGGTTAGCAGCTTGCCAGATGCCAGGGGCTGCCCCTGTTCAAATAGCCAAACAAAGGCAGCACCCGGGGCATCAGCTGGAGCTCACCTGGGATCAAGGTACACGGCTTCCCCACTGCGTGAGCTCGCCAGCAGTAGGGCACACACGCAGCCCTCAGCTTGGGCCAAAGCCCGCACTTCCAGGGGAGCGGCCCGCTCCAGAGAGCTGAGGTCTGGGGCCCTGGAGCCCAGGCTGGGAAATGGCTGTTCAGAGTTTGGCAATGCTTGTTCAGATCTCCTGCTGTCCCGTGCCGCTCCGTCTGGGCTGACAGAGGCAGGGCCAGGAGCGCTAAGCACACACCTCCGCGTTCCCTAGCACGGCTTGGAGCAGCTCTGCTCAGCCCTGCGCTCCCACAGCCGTCGCTGGCGGTGCCCGGCCTGCACCCTTCCCCGGGCAGGGCTGGCGTCAACAACCAAGGTGCCCCGGCCCTACTCAGTCCTTACACCAGACACCTGGGGCAAAGTCCCTTAAGGACAGGCAGTGCCACTTCCCGGGCACACTCTGGCATGTCTGGGGGGGCGGGGGAGTGATTCGCTTGCTTGATCCCATGCCCATTGCAGTGTTTCTCTCCAGTGTTTGCTGGGTAAGAGGATCTCGTTGCCTGGCTGTGTCACAAGAAGCCAGGGAAGGCCTGTGTCTGCATCATGTCCTTGCACCCTAGGAACCTGATGTCTCCCCCCACCCAAGGACAGGGGAAGCAGGGTGGGCACACAGTCCAGCTGCCCTTCTCCAGCTCCCCTTCCCCATGCCTATCAGGTCTTGCCTGGGCCTCTCCTCCTCTCACTCACTGGGATCTGTGCTCGTTTCAGCCCGGTCCTTAATGCTGCCTAGAATTTATGTCAGGATGTTTTGACTTACAGGCTTGATGCTTTATCAGGAAGTAAATTTACATATCCCAGGCTCCTCCTGGAGAGTTTCCAGCCTGGGCAGGAAAAAACAAAGTCCCGGTAGTGAGTGTAAGCGTGTGTGTGTGTGTGTGTGTAGCTGTGCAAGGTGGTGAGTGTGAGCTCTGCCAGCTCTGTGCACAACATGCGAGGGGTGTGTACACATGCTTGCCTCCTTTTCCTGCCCCAGGATGGCCTGGGAAACGAACAGCTTTGTCTCAGTGGGAATTTCCTGGTTAAGGATTGTCAGCCCAGCTGAACAGACCCCCAGGAAACGCCTAACTTAACTGGAAGCCTCTTTGCCCTGGCTTATTATACAGCAGAGAAAGAGACAGACTTCCACAGTCACAGCGTGTGCGTCTCTGCACACACTCAGGCACCCTTGCACACTCACCCATGTGCATGCACACTTACACAAAAACTCTCATGCATGCATGAGTACACTGGCACATGCTCCCAAGCACACAGCTAAAGGGCAGCACAGGGTTAAGGAAACCAGGCCTGTCAGGGCATCACTGCTTCCCAGGGGGCTGACAGGTTCTCCTCTGGAATTCTCTCTCTCCCTGAAATTCTCCAGCTGATTTGCTCTGTGTCTCTATTCCTGAGAGAGGGGAAGGAGGGGGCAGGTCAGCGGGGGAGTGATGGACAGTCAAGGTGGGGAGAGGCTGGGGAGCAGGGAAGAGAGCACGAGGCACCCCAGCTCCAACCCCCCTGTGCATCCTGCGAGGGCGATGGGAGGGCACAGGCGTTGCTCATGGAGTGTGTGCACTCAGGTCACCCTCTGCAGTGGCTAAGCTGCACCGGGAAGGCTCCTAGGCAGGGCAAGGGGGGTTGGTGCCTGGCTGAGCTCAGGTCACGGGGCCTCCCTGAGAGTCTCAATCTGTGCCCTCTGCCCTTGCTCAGCAGCTGAGAGCGCTGGAGAGGGCCCTGTGTCCCTGCTGTGCTGGAGCCGGGGGCACCCAGCCTCCCCCACACCCTCCTTTAGAAGGTGGGGCAGGCACCTGGGGGAATGAGTGTGGGGATGGAACCTTTGCCAAGAGTACACGTGAGCTGGGATTTCCCTTCAGTGACTCTCCCGCCATCCCCAGCCCTCCCCTCCCCACCTCTGTTCCCCTTTCCCTCTGGGCTGCTCTCGGCTGTAATTAACAGGACTCAGAAACCAAATATTCTGCCCTTGAGCTCCCTCCACAAACGAGAGAGCTGAGGAATTTGCAGATGCCCTGATGTGTCTGAGTGCTCATGCGGCCCACGTGTCCCGTGCATCCAAGTGTCCCTATTCTGAGCCTGGCTTTAAAAGCAAAAGCAAATTCTGCCGTAACCACCTGACCCCAATGCCTCTGCCTTTACCTGTCCCGGCAGGGCCTGGTTTCCAGAGGCACCAGGCCAAGGGGAGCTGGGGGCACTCAGCACCTCTCTGGATTGGGCCGTGGGGGGAAAGGTGCTGCAGCACCCTGGGCTGGAGCAGCTTTAGCTAGCAATGCCTAGGCAGTGCCTATGCCACCTCTTCCCCCCCGTCCCCGGGCTGTCCAGCACGAGGCCTGTAGCTGCGGCCGTGCTCTCCACGCCAGCGCCTGGCTTCTCCGGCACGTCCCCCTGAAAAGCCTTGGATCCTGCTACCCCCATCTGCGCCTGCGTGTCTGCAGAGGGCCCTGTCCATGCCCCTCGTCACCCACTCCAGAGGGCCCAGGGGTCCCTGTGTGCCAGCCGAGCTGCTGCAGGCCAGGAGATGCCAAGGGCTCTGCCCTTCTCCCTGGCGTCGGCTGGACTCTGCCGTGACCCAAAAGGGGCCGAGCAGGATAAGCACGAGGGAGAGCGTCTGCCCAGCGTGGAGCGTGGTGCCATGGGTGAATGCAAATATTGTCCTTGGCCCCATGCTGAGCACACGGTCCCAAGCTGCCAAGAGCCGCTCTCCTTCGGCTGCTGGCTCGCAGCTGGGCTCCTGGTTGCCAGAAGACTTCAATGTCTCTGGAAAAACAGGCTTTGTTTCCTTAAACCTCTTTCTGAAAAGAGACCCTGGGCAGGCTCCTGCTGAATGCTGGCAGCCAGCTGAGCCACTGGCTTCTGATCCCAGGGTGGCGGCTGGCCCCTTTGCTGCTGCCCCTTTTGTGTTCTGTGGGGAGAGGGCCTGGCCCTGACAGTGCAATGTGCCCCTTCTCGCCCACGCTGCCAGGCGTAAGCGATGACACGGGGTGCCAGATAGGGGGGTGGGGGGATTGCTGAGTGCACAGATCTGGGCTGCTTGTGGGTGCTGCTTGCATAGGGGGCCACCCCACTCTGTGGGGAGGGCTGAAGTGCCCCCCAGCTAGGGGACAGGGCGCATCCGCAGGCAGAGGTGCATACCCCTCAGAGAGGGAGAGCCCCTTTCCCCATCCATTAATGCCAGACACTCCACTCCAGACACTCCAGACTCCCACTCCAGGCACTCTCCCACTGAACTCCCCCTTGCCCTCCCTTTTCCCCTTTCCCATTTGGGGGTTTCTTCCCTTGCAGGGAATTCCTTGCTGGGGCCTGTCCTCTGGGGCTGGAAGGGGACAAGCAGTCCTGTGTGCCTCGGCAGGGCTTGGTGGCAGCAGAGAGGCAGGTGCTAGCAAAAAGCCTCCTCTCCGAGCCCAGTACTGGGGGGCTGGGAGGAGAACAAGGGGGCTGAGCTGGGGAGATGCTGCTCCTGAGCGCCCAGCCCGCCCTGCGGCACCATGGTGCTGCTGCCCACATGGCCACTGTCCAGGGGAGGGGCATGGGAGGAGGGACGCGCCCCAATGAGAGACGCGCCCCCACCCCCAGCTCTGCCCTCTCCTGGGCCCTTGGAGCTGCTCAGGCAGGCGGCTGGTGGGACCCGGGTCTGAGGAGGGCTCTGGTGCTCGTGCATCCCTGGGGCAGTAAGGCAAGGGGCTCGTTATGCAGGGAAGGCCTGGCCTTACCGGAGGGGGTCACTGGGGGAAGCATGCTGAGCCCATGGCGCCCTGCAGACACCTGCTAGTGACCCACCACCCCTGCCCAGTCGTTCGGTTGCCTCTGCAGGCTACAGATCTTCACAGTCATCCCCAGAGATGCCATTATCCACTTATTATTTCTCCAGTCAGCAGGCGAAGCTCGAGCGCCGTGGCCAGGGGTTCGGCAGTCATCACTCACGACGCCAATGGCAGCAGCCTGAGGAAGGCTTGACTCAGCGTTAGACCAGTTAGCGTGCGAGCCGTGCCCCACCTTCTCCCAACCCAGGTAACTCCCTGCCCAGCGCTGAGTGCGAGGGCCCCGTGGGGACAAACTGACACAGCATCTGCCCTCCCTGCTCCGGATTTCCCCTCGGCTTGCAGGCGAGCAGTGCCGTCCCAGGGAGCCTTATGCTTAGCTCTGCCGGAGCAGCCCCCGCCCAGCCCAGGACTCCAGGCACTTGTGTGAAGCTGTAGCAGGCCTGCCCGGGTCAGCGAGTGGCATTTGGCTCGGGGTGCTGGGCCCGATGACTCACTGTCACTAGTCCTCCTAGCGCAGCTCCTTTGGGGCTGGGGGCGAGTGAGGTTGAGTCTGTTGAGGGGGGAGGGAGGTTTGTGGCCAGGCCTCTGGCACCTGTGGGGAAGGGCTGGCTCGAGGGAAGGAACAGCTGGAGCAGCCTGCTGTGGCCAGAAGTGTTTTGTGCAAGGCCAGCACAGTGACCACGTCCTGGGCTTGCAGAGACCCAGGCCAGCACTGGGGAAGGGGAGACAGAGCCTAGAGCTGCTCCTGAAAGGGTGATGTGGATTTTAATTCATTGGAGAAGCAGGAGCTAGGGCTGCTGGGTGGGGCCGGCAGGGTCTCTCTTCCTGCCTGCCCCCTATGCAGTGGGCAGCAGCTCAGGATGTGGTGCCTGGCTCTGACCTGCCAGAAGCTCTGAGGAGCCAGAGGTGGGAGCGGCCGACCAGACCCCTTGCCCGGTGCCCTGGTGCAATGCTTCCCTAATGCCCAGTCCCCGTGATGGAGCTTCCACCATCTCCCCTGCCTGGTGCAGCTCACTGCCAGGCTGCTTCCCCGCTCAGGGTCTGACTTGCCCCCAGGTGACATGCTCCTGGCGCCTCTCCCTCCAGGTGGGCACGCTGCCAATCCCTTACTGCCCCACCCCACGCCAGCTGTCAGCCCCTCCTGGGCCAGGCTCATGCTCCCCATTGCAACTGGGAAGTGCCTTAAGGACAAAGAACAGCAGCTTCTTCCCCACATCATGGCTCCGGCTCCAGCTCCAGTTCCTGGAGCCCGGCGGCAGCATTCCCATAAACAGCCACTGCAACCAGCAGCAGTGCCTGCAGCCCAGCCCGGGGCCCCACGCATTCCTGCACTTGACCCGGGGCTGGGCCTGGGCCTGGGCCTGGGGGGGCATGTGCACCTGGCAATGCTTTCCTCATGGGGAAGGAGAGGCCAGAGCCTGCTCACTGCTCCTGGTGCAGTGATGGGGTAGGGTGAAGGGAGGCTGCACCCCCCCATGGGACTCTAGCCCAGTCCAAACCCACTGCAGGAAGGACAAGCTGCAGCCAGGAGACCAGCAATTACACCAACCCTGCCTGCCGCGCCTGCACTGCCAGGGCATGTACCAGGCTTGCGGGCCCTGGCAACGTGCTCACCCCAGCCTAGGGCACCCCTTAGGCCCTCAGGGCAGGGGGCTTTGGGGCCAGGAAGGGCCCTGCAGCCTCTCCAAGCTGGGCCTACCCAGGGCACCCACAGACCTTGTGACCCAGTTCTCAGCAGCTCCTTGGTGCTGCAAGGGTGGGGTTGCCAACCCTCAGGATTGACCTGGAATCTCCAGGAATTAAAGATGAATCTTTAATTAAAGATTTTGTCATGTGATTAACTCTCCAGGAATACGTCCAACCAAAATTGGCAACCCTAGGTGAGGCCAAGGCAGTCCAGACCCCCATGCCCTTCCCCACAGCTCTACAGGCTGCCTCTCCCCACACCCAGCCCAGCGGGGGGTGCACTGCGTTTCCATCTCCCCCACCCAGGAAGGCTCCGGGACAAACCCACCACTGTTCTTGGGCCTGTCCAGAGCGCCTGGCAGCTGCGGCTGGCAGGGGCTGACCTCCCCGCTGGCCTTTCCCCCAGTAGGATGGAGGGGCCCTGGACACTGAGCTGCCTGCTGCTGGCCTGCCTGCTGCTGCCCGACTCCATGCTGAGCCAGCCCAGCCGCCCCGAGGAGGAGCAGGGAGAGGCAACGCGGGCACCGTCTCACCGCCACGCTGCCAGGTTAGGGGGCAGGGGCACCAACTCTGACGGGGCTTCCACTGGGCTCTTTTGGCTCACAGAACAGCCAGCACGTGGCCTGAGCTGGAGCAGGCCCTGCCCCAGGTGGGGCAATAGGCGGTGGGGTACTCCCCAGCTGGGGCGCATGGCGGGAGGGCAGCAGCTCACCTCTCCACTGCTCAGTGGAGTGGGCTTGGGCAGGACCCTGGGGTGGCCGGCTTCCTCCACACACAGCAGATCCCGAGGGCAGCAGCTCCCCTCGCCTCCACAGTGCATCCCGGGGCAGCGCCCTCGTCCCAGAGTCGCTGAGCCTCCTTCCCAGCTCCCGCCCTGAGAGCTGCTCTCTGATTGGTACCTCCCAGGGCCGAACGGGACCCCGAGAAATATCATCGCAACCCGGACGAGCAGCCTCCCCCCTCCCAGTGTGTGCGCTGCTGCGACCCCCCCACGCACTCCTCTGCCCTGCCCCACATCAACATCACCATCCTGAAAGGTAAGAGGACCCAGCCACTTCACTGGCTGGACCATGCAGGGGGGGCTGGGACAGAATCCTGGATCCACGAGGACAGGCGAAATCCTGCTCCCCATAGCAGTGTCTGGACTGGAGGGCAGTGTGAGGCCAGAGGCTGGGGCAGAACAGAGCTCTGCGTCTCCACCTTCCCTCATAGCCTCGTCCACAAGGCGGCCAGTGCTGCCCTGCGATGCAGAGTGGGTGTCAGGTGCTCTCAGCTCACCCTGGGGCCCCTGGCACCCCTGAGTGCTGGGCAGGGGGAAATTGGCTTTTAGGGAGGGCCTGAAGCCTGAAACACCACCTGGCCTCCATGTTACCAGGGCACCAAGCAGCATTGCACATCTGGAGCGTCTTCCCAGGACCACATGTAGGGCTGGGCTCCAGCTGCTGCCGTCACTTGTCTCCCTGGGCCACCACTTTGGTCACTGGGGCTGCTGCTCTTGGACAAACCTCATGGTTCAGTTTCTTTAGCACCGCCCCCCCACAAAGGGCCAGATTTGGAAACGCTCCTTGTGCTAAAGCCAGGGGCCAGAGGCTAGAACCCCCAATCCAAGTCACTGCACAGAGCAAAGCTGGGGGTGCAGGCATCGACCAGGGAGCACCGGGGTAGCGGAGGACATGGGTCTGGGCATGGTCAGGGGACTTGGGAGCACAGGGAGCATTTTGTTCTGGCCTGGGCCCTCTCGGTATCATCCATGGGCAGAACTGGACTCAGCCTCACCCCCTGGGCTGCAGGGAAGGGGACTCTCCTACAGCCTGGAGGGTACAGGTGGGAATCAGCCCAGAATCTGAGCAAAGACACTGGGCGTTAAAACCACTGGGTGCCTGGCACGGCTGCAAGGATGCGCTGGGCCTGCAGGGCAGCCGGAGCTGGCAGCCTGTGCGTGGAGCTGCAGGAATGCCCAGGGGGAAGCTCGGTGGCTGAGAAAGCTGGAGTCCCTGCAGAGTGGGGCTGGCAGGGCACCGAGTCTTGGGGGTGGCAACGCAGTCCAAGCAAAGCCCTGGGGGGCGGGTGGCCTCCGGGGAGAGAGCTGTATCACGTGGGGTGCTGCAGTGAGGCTGAGCAGGCACTCGGCTCTGCTTGGGAGCCCATTTTGCTGGGCCCGGCTCACGCCTGGGGGCTGGCACTATGGCTGTCTGCTTCATCCAGCCCCGGCTGGCTGGTCTGAGTGGGCAAGGATGGTGCTGGGCTCTCCAGTGCAAACAATGTCCATCTTGCCTTGCCCAGGTGAGAAGGGGGACAGGGGCGAGCGAGGCCTGCAGGGGAAGTTTGGCAAAGCTGGATCGGCAGGCAGCAGGGGCCACATGGGGCCCAAGGGACAGAAGGGGAGCATCGGGGCCATGGGGGAGCCATGCAAAAGTCACTACGCTGCGTTCTCCGTGGGCCGCAAGAAGCCCCTGCACAGCAACGACTACTACCAGACGCTGATCTTCGACACCGAGTTTGTCAACCTCTACGGCCACTTCAACATGTTCACAGGCAGGTTCTACTGCTACGTGCCCGGCATCTACTACTTTGCGCTCAATGTGCACACCTGGAACCAGAAGGAGACCTACCTGCACATCGTGAAGAACGGGGCGGAGGTCGTGATCCTCTATGCCCAGATGAGCGACCGGAGCATCATGCAGAGCCAGAGCGTCATGCTGGAGCTGCAGGAGCAGGACGAGGTCTGGGTGCGGCTCTTCAAAGGCGAGCGGGAGAACGCCGTCTTCAGCGATGAGTACGACACCTACGTCACCTTCAGCGGCTACCTGATCAAGCACAGCGGGGAGCCCTGACCCCAGGCCTGGGCTGTCCGGCTAGTCCTCCCCCAAGGCTGACCTCGGAGCTCACCTCTCCTGCCATAACCCACTCTCCTGCTTCTCTCCTCTTCCTGGTAGCAGACCCCGTCGCAGACCACCCAGCCCTGTCATGCCTGTGCCTGCTCCCTGCTCCCCTTCCTCAGCTGGGGCACAACCCTCTCCAGGGTCAGGTGCTCTAATGCCGTCAGTGGCTGTATAAATATGGAAGTGCCCCTTCCCCCCCCCCACGTGCCATGCTCAGGTAACCGGGATGAGATGTATGGGCCGGGATTCCCCAGCCTCCCTGCTGGCGTGATTTGTGATAAGAAGAGCTATTCCAGCGAGGGAAACAGGCAGATGGCACGGGCTGGTATTCATTGGGATGGGCGGGGGGGTCTCAGCACAGCCACCGCAGAAGCCAGTGCTGGGGTGAGGAGCCTCCCACAGGTGTGCGCTTTGGACACATTTGCCTAGTGGCTAACAAATCCAAGTCCTGGCACACACTTTTACAGCCGTTTAATGGTGCCCCATTCTGGTACAGTTACGTGGGTGCCGACATGGCCTCATGGCAGGGGCCAGCATCCCTGGTTGAGCAGTGCTTCTTGTGTCCTTGCCCAGGAGCACCAAGGAGGCGCAGGGCTCCCTGCTGGGAAGGGACAGGGAAATGGCAGCTCCTTGGAGGCCGAGGCCTCTGCTTCATTCACAGGGACCCTAGGATTTATAGGGTGCAGAGATGCCATCTAGCAGCAGCAGGTGCTCTAGGGACCTGCCTTGCTGGCTGTGAGTGGAGCCTGGGAGCAGCGTGTATCCCCGTGCGTGCAGAGTGTCACGGCTCCCAATAAACCCTCCTTCAAGGAGAAGCTGGTAGATTGACCTGCTGCAGCTTCCCCTTCCCGCTCTGCTCTGCACCCCACCCACCCTCACACCGTGGCCAGGCCACCAGCGGCACAGGGTCCTGCCAGGGCATGTCTCTGTGCAGGCTCTCGGGATGCACGCCAGGGGTGGGTGCTGACAGCGGTGCTCTGCACTGGAGTCCAGCAGGCCACGAGACCCCAGCAGCTCCCCCCACTCAGGGCACAGTGCGGAATAGCCTTCACCCTGGCCCCGCGCTCCCCAGTGGCTGACGATCACCACCCTAGCTGCTCCCCCTCAGCTGGGGAGCTGCTTTCCAGCTGGCAGCGCTGGTTGCAATGGGCTTGGGCTTAGTCCCTCCTCCCTTGGTTAGTTCTGCTGGTCAGGCTTTTCACTTTTGTCGGTACTACATAGAGCAGGGCCCGGACCAGCATGCTGCTCCCCCCGGCTCTCTGCACTGCTCTGTAACCACATTAAACGCTGAAAGGGCTGGATTTCTAGCTGGGTCTTGGCTTCGGCTCCTTTCTCTGCTTCACCCACACTCAGAGTCCCTGTGAGGGGACCCTTGGGCCTGGCTGGCTGAGCTGGGACTCTCCCTTTCCTCCATGGGAACCCTGCAAACTGCCTGAACTGGGCCAGCTGGTCTCTGGAGTAGCGGCAGGACTCCAGCCCCACAGCCCCTGCTGGGAGCGCAGGAACCTCTCTACTCTGGGGGCAGCGCCCACACACACACGCCGTTGTGCCTTCCCACTACACACCTTTGCTGCACATCCCTCCTTAGGTACATGGCCCTTGGCATCCCATGTGTGGGGGCAGGGACCCAGTGCTAGGAGCTGGGCATCGCCTGAGAGGGGCACATAGCTTATGCTCTTCCCTCCCCACCTGGCGGAGACAGGGATAAAGTCCCTCCCTCCCCCCTCCAAGGGGCTTCAGGCCTGCAGCCCTCCTGAAGTGACAGCTAAGCCAGGTACCTGCAGGCTTTGCCCCAAGCACGGACTGCCATGGGGAGGAAGCGCAGGGTGGCAGAGGGCAGCTTGGGAGCATGGCTGGTCCTCAGAGGAGAAGGCATCATGGGGAAGCAGGTGGGACCTGGGCTCAGCCAGAAGCAGTCCCACAGGGCGACAGATGGCCAGGGAGGTGAACCTTGTAGCGGCACAGGGCCACTCCAGATACAAGTCGGAGTAAGGATACATGGTGCTGGGGGAGGCCCGGACACATGCAGGGACAGGATGATGCCAAGGAGATGGGGGACAGGCACACGCAGTGGCAGGGCGAGGGGTACTGCACAACCATTGGGCAGAGCTAGGGAGGGGGTGTGCATTGGCGTTGAAAGTTTGTAGCCACAATATCAAGAGGTAACCTATTTCCCCTTGTTTTTTCCTACCCCCCCCCCCCCCCCCAGACGTTCTTGTTAAACTCTGGATTTATGCTGGAAATGGCCCACCTTGATTATCATACACATTGTAAGGAGAGTGGTCACTTTAGATAAGCTATTACCAGCAGGAGAGTGGGTTTGTGTGTGTGTGTGTGGGGGGGGGGTTTGAGAAAACCTGGATTTGTGCTGGAAATGGCCCACCTTGATTATCATACACATTGTAAGGAGAGTGGTCACTTTTGGATGGGCTATTACCAGCAGGAGAGCGGGGTGGGAGGAGGCATTGTTTCATGTTCTCTATGTACATAAATCTCCCCACTGTATTTTCCACTGAATGCATCCGATGACGTGAGCTGTAGCTCACGAAAGCTTATGCTCAAATAAATTGGTTAGTCTCTAAGGTGCCACAAGTCCTCCTGTTCTTTTTGCGAATACAGACTAACACGGCTGTTACTCTGAAACCTGAAATACCAAGAGTGGCAGCTAAGCTCTGGGTGCCCAGCCTGGACCCCTGGAGCTCCTTTGCTGATCTGAGAACCTGGTCCTGGTGCCTGTGGCTGGGCTCAGCACAGGACTCCCTGCTGCCGGTGCTTGGCCTTGGCAGCTGAGCAGAGAGCAGGGGCAGCCCTGCTGTCCTGGGCTGGGTGGGTCCTTGGAAGCCGGGGGATGGTTCAGGCAGCTGGCTGGGGGTGGCCTTCCAAGAATAATATTGGGAGAGGCGTTCTGGATCAGAGCAGGGATGAGGTCACGCACGCCAGAGTCTGCCTCATGGGGCCAGGGAAAACATGCCAGGAGCAGCCTCTGGAGTCACGTGTGGTCACAACGTCATTCTCCTTAGCACACACACTTAGGAACCTGCCCCTCCTGGGCCTTAGTTGTATCCAGAACCAACTCTGGGCCAACTGACCAATTCTTCAGTAGCGTAAACTTAGAAGCCCTTTCTGTCTGCTCCACAGACAAAAGCCTCCTTCATTGGGCACATTGCTATTTGCAACAGACAAACAACTGGAAACAGTTTTTCCTTCAACAGATAAACTGATGCTTTCCACAAATAGTGTCTCACTGCACTGATTACAGAGGGGCTGCTGGGTTAGTCGGTATCGGCAAAACAACGAGGAGTCCTTGTGGCACCTCAGACTACCACATTTATTTGGGCAGGAGCTTTCGTGGGCTAGAACCCACTTCATCAGATGCACGGAGAGGAAAATACAGGAGCAGGTATAAATACACAGCACAGGAAAAGATGGGAATTGCCCTACCGAGTGGGGGGTCAGTGCTAAGGAGGCCAATTCAGTTAGGGTGGATGTGGCCCATTCTCAACAGCTGACAAGACGGGGTGAGTATCAACAGAGGGAAAATTACTTTTTGTCGTGACCAAGCCACTCCCAGTCTCTATTCAGGCCTAATTTCCCTGAGCCCTAGCCAATGCCAGATTCACTTCTGAGATACCAGACAGACACTCAGCAATTTCTTCCACATATGCACTGGCTTTTTGCACAGATAAACGGCCATCTTTCTCAGACAAGAATTCGGAGAAACCCTCCATAGGTAAATCCTTGCCCCTAGCAGACACAGGTTCAAGATTATTTCTTTCCTGTGACTGATTTATGTCAACCTGATGGAACAAAGCTTTAATATCATCCCCAATCAAAAGATCCTTAGGCTATAACTTCCTTACACCAGCTATAACTTCATGTTTAACACCATTGCATTCAAGATGGATTCTGGCTAAAGGCACACTTACAGTGAACTCATAATGACAAGTTTCAGAGTAGCAGCTGTGTTAGTCTGTATCCGCAAAAAGAAAAGGAGGACTTGTGGCAAATACATTTGTTAGTCTCTAAGGTGCCACAAGTCCTCCTTTTCTTTTTGAGTAAACTCATAGTGGATTACAATATTCACACTCTGATTTGGTAAATAATCTTCGTTTTTGACAAGATCTGCTTTAACAAGAGTGATGTTAGAAGCTGTAATTTGCCCTGTACAGCTTTTACCATTGACTTTTACATTCTCTGCACAAGTTATGGGGTTACCTTCACCTGCGCTTCAATCCATCGGTGATCTTCCTGATAACACCATCCTGGCTACTATGGATGTAGAAGCCCTCTACACCAACATTCCACACAAAGATGGACTACAAGCCGTCAAGAACACTATCCCCGATAATGTCACGGCTAACCTGGTGGCTGAACTTTGTGACTTTGTCCTTACCCATAACTATTTCACATTTGGGGACAATGTATACCTTCAGATCAGCGGCACTGCTATGGGTACCTGCATGGCCCCACAGTATGCCAACATTTTTATGGCTGATTTAGAACAACGCTTCCTCAGCTCTCGTCCCCTAAAGCCCCTACTCTACTTGCGCTATATTGATGACATCTTCATCATCTGGACCCATGGAAAAGAAGCCCTTGAGGAATTCCACCATGATTTCAACAATTTCCATCCCACCACCAACCTCAGCCTGGTCCAGTCCACACAAGAGATCCACTTCCTGGACACTACAGTGCTAATAAACAATGGCCACATAAACACCACCCTATACCGGAAACCTACTGACCGCTATTCCTACCTGCATGCCTCCAGCTTTCACCCTGACCACACCACACGATCCATCGTCTACAGCCAAGCTCTGCGATACAACCGCATTTGCTCCAACCCCTCAGACAGAGACAAACACCTACAAGATCTCTGTCAAGCTTTCTTACAACTACAATACCCACCTGCAGAAGTAAAGAAACAGATTGAGAGAGCCAGAAGAGTTCCCAGAAGTTACCTACTACAGGACAGGCCTAACAAAGAAAATAACAGAACGCCACTAGCGGTCACCTTCAGCCCCCAACTAAAACCCCTCCAACGCATTATTAAGGATCTACAACCTATCCTAAAGGATGACCCAACACTCTCACAAGTCTTGGGAGACAGGCCAGTCCTTGCCTACAGACAGCCCCGCAACCTGAAGCAAATACTCACCAACAACCACATACCACACAACAGAACCACTAACCCAGGAACTTATCCTTGCAACAAAGCCCGTTGCCAATTGTGCCCACATATCTATTCAGGGGACACCATCACAGGGCCTAATAACA